ACCTAATGAGTAACCATAAGGAATGTTCCCCTGAGTTCTGTGAGCAACTCGAGCAAATTAGTTGAACCCAAGGAGGGTCATGGGACCCTTTGATTTCTAGCCAGTTGGTCAGAAGTACAGGACACAACCTGGGACTTCTGGCGTCTGAAGTGGGAGTAGTCTTACGGGACTGAACCCTTGACCTGCGGGGCCTGACGCTGTCTCTGGGTAGATAGTGTCAGAACTGAGTTGATACTCAGTTGGTGTCTGCTGGAGAACTTGTGGGGAACCCGCACCCTCACAGCATGTGGTGTCAACATTGGAAGCATTGAGGGAAGCATTGAGTTGGGCATAGTGGCACGTGCCTGGAATCCCAGCTACTCAGGTGGCTGAGGCAGGAAGATCGCTTGAGCCCAGGAGTTTGAGACCAGCCTGGGCAACATAGTCAGACCCCATCTCTTAAACAATGAGTGTCAGGGACAGCATTGTGTCTTGTGTGAGTAGGAAAAACAGTTTGGTTTTTCCTCTCTCACAACTTCAATGTGCAACAATAAAGAATGAATTAAATAGATTAATGGCTCAGTTTTAGTGAGCTCCTACTATGTGCCAGGCTCTGGGTTAAATAGATTAATGGCCCAGTTTCAGTGAGCTCCTTCTTATTAAGTGCCAGGCTCTGGTCTGGTGCTGGGGATACATCAGTGGACTACACAGGGATCCCTAGCTTCATGAGGCGTACATTCTAGAAGGGGAGACAGACAATAAACAATTGACAGAAGGTAAGTGGGTGGTACCTTAGAAGATGGTAAACCGTGCAGAAGAAGTGAAAGTGAGCAGGTTGTGTGTGGACGCTGAGTGTGGGGAGTACCGTTTTAAATATGGTGCCAAGGTAGGCTGCATTCAGGACTTGAAGTTGGTAAAGAAGTCAGCTACGCAGAAGTCAGGGAGATGCACACTTCAGACTGAGGGAACAGCCAGTGCCAAGGCCCTGAGGCAGGAGCATCCACTGTCTTCAGAACACAGCAAGGACGCTGGGGACTGGGGCAGGCTGATGACGGAGTGGAAGAAGAAAGAGGGCCTGGGGAACCAGGGGCCAACCACAAAGGGTCTCGTTGGCCTCTGTGAGGATTGTGCATTTTATTCCAACTGAAATGGGTCTTTGCAGGGTTTGGGCAGAGGAGTGATGTGATCCATTTTTATGTTTTAGAAGGAGCAGCCTGGCTGCTATGTTAAGAACAGACTGTCAGGAGACAGGGAGAAATAGGGGGAGAGCATTTAGGATATTATTGCAGCAACATAGGCAGGAGAGATAATGATGACTCAGAGCGGGGCATATAATGAAAGTGATGAAAAACAGTTGAATTCCAGACATTTTCTAAAGAGAAAAGCAACAAGACTTGGGGACAGATTGGATGTGGGGTGCAACAGATAAGAGAAGCCAAAGATGACTCTTATGGTTTTTGCCCTGAGTAAATGGAAGGATGGAGCTGTCATCAACTGAAATGGCAAAGGCGTGGGTAGGACAGGTCTGTGGGAGGAGATTAGGGGTTTGTGTTTGGAAATGTTAAGCTTAAAAAGTCTAGTACACATCCAAAAGAAAATGTACATTTATTGGCCTTTAATACTGAATGTGTCTCCAGTGTTAGCAGAGTAACTGGCCCTCCAAATATATGGTTGGATGAAAGAACAAGAAAAGTTGTTCAAGTATGAAGTGAAATAAGTATCAGATGATCCCACTTTGTTTTATGTATATGCATACACACACACACACACATTTGTAACTCTTCTTACGTATTGCCAGATTGCTCTGCAGAAAAACTGAACCAATCTAGAATTCCAGCAGTGAAAGAATGCTAGACAGTCTATTAGGAAAGACATCTCCGATGAGGTCGGGATTTCAATTTCACACCAAAAAATTACTTAGCACTTTTCCCAGCTGCCATGGAGACATGAAAAGGCTTCACTTGGATCTTCCATTCTTTTCAGGTGTAGGAATTGGCGTGGTCCATGCTGGGTATGAGAGACGCCTGGCGCATCACCTGGGGGCACACAGCACGCCCTCTATCCTAGGAATCATTAACGGGAAAATCTCCTTCTTCCACAATGCAGTTGTCCGTGAAAATCTGCGACAATTTGTAGAAAGTCTTCTTCCAGGGAACTTGGTGGAGAAAGTAAGTACCTGTCAAGGAAAACATGACTGAGAAGTAGTTTAAGAGGTCCCTAGGACTGTTAATTGCCCAGAACATTTTCTGTAGTCCTCTCAGACCTGAGTTTCATTGTGAGGAAGGCAAGACACATATTAATTAATTAATTACTTAAACTAAATCATGTAGGTGAAGTCTGTAGGAGACTAAAAATTGAAACATGAAGTACAGAGACTGGAAGAATTAATTCCTATTAATAACCATCTTGCAGATCTTACACTGTCATAGAAATCTGAGCCTAAAATGACCGTGCCTATTTTCTAAACAAAAAAATTAAATCACACGTTAGAAAGAATTTGGGGTTTCTTTCCGGCTCATAAATTTGTTCATGTGAAGATATTTGTCTTTATTCAAATTTAGTTGTGTTTGGTTATATGTTTAACGATCGTATCTGTGGAAAATGCCAGATTCCATGAAATCAAATATTATTTTTGAAACTTTAGAAACTTACAGTGACAATAATATGAATGAATTTCACAAAGAAAAGGTTGAAATAAAGAAGCCAGTTAAAGTTCACATTGGTTTATTGTTTCCATATTTAAGCACCTAATACATTTTTTTCAATATCTTAAGTTAGGGATCAAAGTAACTAGGAAAGGACTCTCATTTTGCTTTAAATAATTCATTCTCTTAATACCAGGGAAAGTGAACATAAAAAATTTTCATCATATTTCTACATGTGCTATTCCTAGACTGTCCTGCTGGAATCATTATCTATAGAAGAAATATTTGTTGGAGTTAACTTAAAAGGTCAGAGAGTATTGTAGGCTCCTAAAATGATAATAGAGTGTCCTGATAGATCCTCAAACATTTGTATAAAATACCTATTCTGTGCCTGGTATAGATTAATATAGCCGTTAGCAGCTTCCAAGTGGGTGGTTATTTCCAGTATGTTGGAGCCCATCCTAATGAGTTGGGAAAGGCTTCCTGGCAGAAGTGACCCTTGGACTGGGTTGGGTTGCAGGCAGGCAGAAATCAGGAGACGTGAAATAGCCTGCTTTGTAAGAAGTTTTCACTGGTGAGCAGCAGAGGAGTGGGTTGGGGGCGGTTAGAGAGGTTATTAGGAATCTCCCTGTGAGGGCCTCAGAACACTTCCATGCTCCTTTCAGGAGCTTGGGCCTTGGCCCGTGGGTGATGGAGCTATTGTAGGGGTTTGAGCAGAGGAGTGCAATGATCAAATTTGAGTTTTATGTAAATCATTCTAGATGCAGTATGGAAAGATACACTTTTTTTAACGACTATGAACAATTTCTAGCTAGATAATTTATTCATGTTTTTAATTTCTTCTCTCAGTAGGAATATTTTAAGATATCAACGGGGGAAAGTAACAATTCAGATAACAATAAATGAAATTATATAATGTATAGGGGGGTGGACCACCTTATTTTTATTTAAGCCGTTTAAAAAGAGCAAGCTGTCCTAGAGTGGTGGCTCGTGTCTGTAATCCCAGCACTTTGGGAGGCTGAGGTGTGAGGATCGCTTGAGTCCATAAGTTCAAGACCAGCCTGGGCGACATACTGAGACCCAATCTCTACAAAAAATGCAAACATTAGCCAGGCATGGTGCCTTGTGCCTGTAGTCCCAGCTATTCAGGAGGCTGAGATGAGAGGATCACTTGATCCTGGGAGGTCTGGGAGGTTGAGGGTGCAATGAGCCATGATCTTGCCACTGCACCTTAGCCTGGGCAACAAAGCAAGACCTTGTCTCAGAAAAAAAAGGGGTGAGGGGCAAGCTGGGAGACTGAGGCATGATAGATGGGAGACTGAGGCCTGATAGATAATGATGATAGATAGATAGATAGATAGATAGATAGATAGATAGATAGATAGATAGATATTGAAAGGGGCAGTGTTGCATTATCTTCTGCTGGCTAGTGTATTAAGAAGTATACTCTACAATTAAGCGAGAACCTACTCTGGAAGCTCAATTTTTATAATATGGTCAGTAATTGTTTCAGACAGGATTATGATTTCAGTCTGTAAGAGTTCAATGAAAACATGAAATCAATATCACCATTCTTTTAATAGTTTTAGCCAAATGAAGACAAACAGATTAGTTGTCTGCATTTTTATTTTTTGCGATCTTTTACACTTATTTGATTTATTTTCTCCTGACTGGAGTATAATACAATTGTTAAGAATTAAATATTGAGACTAACATTCTATTTTCAATTTAAGGTTACAAATAAAAATTATGTCAGATTCCTCTCTGGCTGGCAGCAAGAGAATAAGCCTCATGTCCTTCTGTTTGACCAAACGCCCATTGTGCCACTGTTATACAAGGTACTTTCTATGCTGGGGTAATGGTTTCTTTTCTTTTCTTTTCTTTTCTTTTCTTTTCTTTTCTTTTCTTTTCTTTTCTTTTCTTTTCTTTTTTTTTTTTAGCAGAAAGTAATCTCTGAGTTGGAACTTACAGCCTATTTGTCTTTTTTGTAAGAAACAGTTTCTTCCATGAGAAATGTTTGAAGACCAGAAATTTTACTTAACCATCATGCATTCGGTACCGACTAATGCCAGTTACTGTGCTGGTGCTTTCTATGCATATATCATGTAATCCTCAGAAGAACCCAGTGATGGAGATACTATCCCTGTTTCTGTTGGTTTTTTTTTT